TGGCTGGTGGAAAGTTTAAGGAAGCCTCACTCTCCGATTCGGGTCTGTAATTGGGAATGAGCAGGTGAGAGGTGTGATCTGCCTTCTGTTGAGAGAACAGGAACTGAAACATATCTCCACCTTAACATAACTGAAGTATGGCTTCACCCCAACGTATTGAAGCATGGCTCTGCCCGCACATAACTGAAGCCTGAATCCTCCCTCATAACACTCCCAAAAAAATGAAGCATGGCTCCACACCAACATGACATGAAATATGGCTTCACCTCAACATATTTGAGGCGTGGCTTCACCAGCATAACTGAAGCATGGCTTCACCCCAACGTACTGAAGCATTGCTCTGCCCACACATAACTGAAGCCTGATTCCTCTCTCACAACAGTCCCAAAAAAACTTAAGCATGACTCCACCCCAACTGGACAGAAGCATGGCTTCACTCTTATAGTACTGAAGCATGGCTTCACCTTCACAACACCCCCCAAAAGGACTGAAGCATGGCTATGCCCACACATAACTGAAGCCTGATTCCTCTCTCACAACACTACCAAAAAAAATTAAGCATGACTCCACCCCAACTGCACAGAAGCATGGCTTCACAATGATACTACTGAAGCATGGCTTCACCTTCACAACACCCCCCAAAAGCATGGCTTCACGATCACAATCCAGCTCCCAGGCCTTCAAGGCATCAGCTTAACCGCACTCCTGGATGCCTCTATACTCACACGCCTTCACGTTTACGTCCTTCCTGAGCCCGTCGAATCCTCTCCATCTGATTTTTAATTTTGAGCTTGGCCTTCTTTGGTTCTGGTACATCGCCGGGTACTATGACAGAAATCACACAGCTGCCCAAACAGAATTTTCCGGGCTAACGCTTCACCACAAAGCCACGTCTGGGAATAAAATAAGTGCCGTCATTAAGGGCGCCTTTCAGCAACCTGAACAATCACTGCCTTTTTCACACTACTTACCGTTCTAATAATGTCTAGGTTACGGGAGGAAGCAAAACAGCCCTTATCTGCAGTCCCATTTATTAAAAACACCCTCATTTGACAAGCTACAAACAGCCGACAGCAGCCAAGTCACCAGGAGCCGTATGCAGTCTGAGAAGAAATGGAGCGATGCAAAATAAATATTATTATATATCATACATGTACAGCCTGGCCTATTATTTTTTTGCACAACACATACAACCATAAACACGTACTCACATTTGCAAACGAACCAACACTGCAGTATTAAATTAAAAAACACCAACACCTACAGGTTTTGTGCTTGTAAGATTTTTTTCTAGGTTTCAGCTAGAAATGATTAAGTGAAGTGAGTTATTATCTGTAACTTGTCGTCAATGCATTTCTCAGTGGCACACAGATTCTGGTATACAAACTAGTAAATGATTTCACGGTTTTGGTACAGGCATGCCTATCTGGGTTCCTTACATTGTTACGCGGATAATGCTTCTGTTATCTAATTTTTTGTTCATCCGTTTTCTGACCGCTTATCTAGTCCAGGGTCACGGAGCGCTTGGAACCTGTCCCAGGAAGGGCAGGGCAGAAGGCGGGAAACACCCAGAACGGGATGCCAGTCCATTGCAGGGCTCACACACGCACACGCACACACATACACATACACACAAAGGGCCGTTTTAGAGATGCTCCAGTCTTCCCCCTTAAAGACTGGCCCACCCTTCACCAAAGCCCATTTAACCAGAAAGGAACAGAACCAATGTGTGTAGCAGTTACACACTCGCCGCTTTGAGACATGAGGGAGGCATTTGCTGTCATATTCTTAGGATAGGTACCCAGTCTCGACTGTAGAAATGGATGAGGTGTAAAATTTGGAATTGCAGAGAATGGAGGCTGTCTGTTAAAGAAGGCAAACTCATTGGAAATGAGGGGCGTTTAATGGCCCGTTCACAACCCACTGGTAAATGTTTGCTCAATCCATTAAAACTCTTTTTTTGGGTGATGTTTCAAATAGCTTTTTTCATACTTCCCACAATCAACAAGTAGATAGTGTGACTAGCACAGTGCGTACACTCCATCTCCGCCATCTCTCCAAGCAACCTTTCTTTCCATCAACTGGACAACCAGCCCCAAACGTCTCACGTCTTGTTTTTTCCTACGGCACAGATGTAGATCGTAATGGGCCCAATAAAAATAGTAATGAACACAGCTCATCCGACACATGTCCCTGCCTGTCTAATAGACGTCCGATGAGAATAAGCTTTCACCGTCCATTCATTTGGTAATGTGACAGAGCATAACCGACGTCTTTTTTTTCATTCATGCTGCCACCATACTACGGTGTCTAGTGTGGGCTGGGCATCATGCTACGGCTTTAAAATCAATAATTCAAAAATCGATTATCTGTGCATCGATAGCACTGGCTTTTGTAATGACTGCCGTGAAAATATGTTTGAGATAGTAGGGGAGACACGCCGCCATGCCGGTCAAGGCAAGCGTTGCGGTTAGTGTGTGTGTGTGTATATATATACACACACACACACACACACTAACTACATGTATATATATATATATATGATATAAGACCCTGAATAAAGGGGAAATATAAATGAACACTCAAACACGATGATTCTTCTGTGGTAGCATTACTGAGACTTTATGTGTATTATTTTCGAAACATCTGCATAGATACATTGTTTTGTCCAAAATAAAATATTCCAACAATTAAATATGCATTTATAAGGTTATGCTCAAAACAGAATATTGCACCAATTATATGTGCTTTCAGCTCATCCAGTTGTCAGCACTGAACGTGATTCCATTCTGCTGTACAGGTAAGTAAACTTTAATATTGCTCACTTTTCTTAAAACAGGTAAACTCCAGTGTAGCAGGTAAGTACTACAAGGGCCTATTAATCAATAAACATGACCTTAAATTTACAAATGAGAATTTACAGAAAGTGACCATACAAACAAAAAAAGAATGCAGATATAGCACTTGTCCTTTAGTTTTATCCGCTCCTTATCATGGAGACTCACTTACGAATAAATGCGTAACAAAGTACACCCACAAATATACCAAAACCCAAATGCTTTGTGTGCGTCTTACTGAGCTTGACCCGGGCAGAGTCCACACTGTACAATAAGCTGGCCGTAGATCATTCGATTTCCGCCACCAGGGGAGAAGTTTTAGCTAGCCGCTTAGCCATATACTGAATAACAATTTACAACTGAGAATACCGCTTCAAAACACACTCAGTACACATTCAGGATTTTAATAAAACACAAATAAAACAGCGCAGCAAACAGATCAACAATTCAGGAGATAATATGCTCATACCGTACCTGAATAAAAGGGAAATATAAATAAACACTCAAACACGATGCTTCTTCTGTGGTAGCATCACTGAGAATGAGGCATCGCGCCGAAAGTTTCCCCTTTCCACCTTCCGCAGACCTAATCAATCAATCCGTTATGAGCGGAAAGGCTCAACAGATAGATCGCAAATTAAATATAGATGAAATCCTTTTCTTCTTGTAAGCTTTTTACAGAGCTTTGGCATATTAACCTTTTACAAGTAAACCTTTGTTTTTATCAGACATTATATGTTTATAATTATGAATTTATTATTTATTAAAATAACTTTTTTTCCAAAACTACTGTGTCACAGTTTCCTAATAAAATTAACCTATCACACACACACACACACACTGGAAAGCATCCGGTGCCGTAAATCACCCAAGCTATGTAACGACATGTCTTCTATTCCTTCTTTCAGATAATCAGAATGTTGATCACCGTATTACTGCCATAAAGAAAAACTGCTTTTTATTTGCCGTGTAAAAACTGAGGACATTCTGCACTCCAAGTCTGAAAGTGAGACTTATCACACCACTGTGTGCTTGCGCGCAGCTCCAATCTGTGTGGCCGCGCATCTCTTTTGGGGTTGCCGATTTAACGCTGCCCGCTGGAATAACAATAAAAAAGGGATACTTTGAATATCCACTTCGTATATGGCGGAATTTCTCACACAGCACACAACTATCCACCCGAGATAAAGAGGTGGACATTGTGAAAAGGGGGTTGGATGCGTTGATGCTGGCAATCAATGGGTCCCCCCTCCATCCTCCCAACCTCACTCGGGTACCTTAGAGGCGCTTTGACGCTCAACCCGCGGCTGTTACTTTGCCAGCCTGACCATTAGTTCGGGGATGACCATTATGGGACTTCATTACCCGCTCGTTTATATGTATTACACAAAAACACAGCCGCCCTTGTCCGTCCCTTGACATTTCTGTACGCGCGGCTCCATGATCAATGGCGCCATAGCTTTCTGATTATCGGCGATAAGTGTCAGGCACATATAAGCAGACGCATAAAAGCCTGAGCACAGGCAAAGACGCCTAATGAAAAACGTGCCCTGAGAAAGTATTAATTGCGGTTCATCTGTCTACAGATCTACAGATTTTACAATGCTGGCTTTCGTGCGACTCGCGGGCATTATGCAATAGCCCGGGAGCGTGTGTGCGCGCGCGTGTCTGTGTGTGTGTGTGCGTGCTTTGTGTGAATGAAATATGAGAATTAACCACGATGACGCTTTATTTCCATCCGAACAAATTAGATGTATAAATGTAAAAAGCATTCTTCAAAAAAAATGAGGGAAAGAGCACGAAGCAGATGTAATTAAAAATGACAGCCTGTAAATGGTGTCAAAAAATGACTTAGGCGCGCCGACGCCAACCGCATCCTTATGTGCTCGTATAAATAAGTGTGCCCGCGCGTGTCTGCATGTGCATGTGCATGTGTATGATATATACATATTAAAGAGGGCGGATCATGCGCCGTTGGCTCATTATTACATTTTCTTGCTCTGTATATCTGTCCATCCAGGAGAAAACAGTATATTAATCATGTTATACGCTTGTCCCCCCACTGTTATGAAGCCAACGGTGGCAGACGAGTGCCACGATCGTGTTCAGCGCAACATCCCGTATCTTGGAATAGCCTAGATAAAACCCCGATTCGTGTCCTACCTTGATTCCTCCAATCTCCTTCCACCGTGTCTCACTGCGTCTCATTCATTCTTTCTTCCCTCTCGTTTCACTCCGGCTCTTTCTTCCCTCCGGTTATCCGCTGTTTTCTCTTTTTCGACCTCTTCGTGCGGATGCATAAAGATTAAAAATTAATACACTGATATCTACAAGGCAGAACGCCGAGCCTGAACGCCCGAGACTGGAAAAAACGCCCTGGCAAAATAAGACCGTAACGCTGGAATAATATCCCACATAGTAGGTTAATGTTCTCACAAATAAACAGACGACGTATAAAACGTGTGACTAGCCGGCGACTTCTCTTCGTCGCCCTACCGCTGTGAGGAGTATTTACAGATTAATAACAACAATAATGCTTCGGGCAAATTAATACATAATGCCCTCAAAATATATATTTTTTTCCGCAGTCCCTTTCAGTGCTATGCTGGTGGCAGGTTCAGTGCAACAACGTACCGAAAAACATCTCCTGCGATCAGTTGGCCCATAATAAAGGGATATTATGCTGATAAAATGTCTACATGTACGTGAGGCAGTGCTGATGGTGATATCTGGGAACACCATAACCAGCAACCATGAGGTTGATGGTTTCACACACACAAAAGTCTCTTGTCTTCAGGAACCGTTTAACATGTAAGAGGTCCGTTTTTTCGATCCATGTTCTGGCGCCAAGAAATGATACGTCGATCCGTCGCTCTCCAGTCAGAAGGTAAAAATATTTGTTCCCGCAAATTTCTTGCAAAGTCTTCCTATTTTTCGTTAAGTATGGCAATTTTTTTTCGGCAGGGAAAGAAACTAAGCAGAATAGTCAAATAACCGCCATGGTCATGTGCATTAATTTGCAAAAAAAAAATATGCGAATGTAACTGATCTTGAATAAATAACCAGCGTTTAATATGCATAAATTAATTAGCCACCTCTTTAAGTCCACAGCTGAAACATCCTCCTTCGCCTGAAAACACGAAAAGACATTTTTACTTATAGACTGACTGGCTGACCGATTGATTGACTGATTGATTGAGTGGACGATTATTGTTCAGTAGTAATTGCCAAAGAGACAAAAAACATACGCGAGTTCCCAGAGTTCATCATTTCTCCCATCTACTAATACGCACACTTGATCGAAAAACGATATCAATGCGGTGCAAAAACAAATGATCTAAAGTGTCTCATTGTGCGTCCTACAGTGCATAATAGTGAGCCGCGTCAAGCAGACGGAGTGGATATTGGGCTGCGCACGGCGCGCTTTCCCGCTCGGTATTCAGCCTGAGCATGAAGGTGTGTATTAAAAACCAGTCTATTTCAGGTGTAGCGCCGAGGTGATAATTAGATTCCCAAGCCAACGCTCAATCCCAGAAGACACGGGAGCTCTTGCACAAAAACAGGTATCTTCGTCCCGACTTTATCCTTTATACATTCATTAGTATTATTATTGTATTTGTTGTGGCTCTGACCGAAGCAGAAAAGCACCGAGCGAAATTGCCAGGAGGAAAAATGCAACAATTTATCGTAGCTGCTGTACTGAGAAGCCTGGCGCTTAAACTCAGTCTGTGCATCTAGCTTTTTTTTTCCACGTATAACCTCCGTAGTTTGTGAGCTTCACCAGCGTCGATTCCAGATGAGAAACTGAGATCATGAAGGTGATGGGAGGGGCGGCGATCACCGCCGTCCAAACCCCGTGGCCTGACGACCTCAGATTTTGTACCGATTCCTAATAATTATTCAGTCAGCCTTTTCGAGTCCTTCATCTGATCTCGGTACTTTGCGCAATACTACACTACAACAGGGCTAATATTGCAGACGGCAATCCAACCGAACCCAGTGCGTAGACTTCCACTGAAAGGGGCTGGCGCTCGCTCGCTCGCTCTCTCTCTCTCTCTCTCTCTCTCTCTCTCTCTCTCTCTCTCTCTCTCTCTCACTGTGTCTCTCTCTTATTTCTCTCTCTTTTCTCTCTCTGGCACCAGTGCTCTGAACCGCACAAAACACGGCATGGATTTCCCAATTTGTTCTACTCATATCCACCACACAGCCTCAGGCTTATAAAAAAGCTCTCTCACACACACATGGGTAAGAATGGGTAAGAATACAGTGGGACTGAGCTTTGCAAAAGGTTATTTCCAAGAAGAGAACCTCAACTCAGTTAAAAATTCCATGTCACAAAAAAAAAAGCATTTAGATTAATATAAAGTAAAATGTCTTTTGGTCTGTCACCAAGGCAGATGGAGCTTAAACTTTCGTGAAGTTCATGTCTGACTATCACCAGAGAAGCAATTTTTTCAGCAATACAAATGTGATTAACATGGTCATTGTCCATGTTACATTTCAATTAACAGAACGCAATAAGTCTACCCATTATTATTGTATGTATCTTCCAAGAGAGAGCCAAACCAAGGAGATTAACTCCTGTCATGCACGGACTCAAAACTTGTTAACCCAAGATCATCACATCCTACGTCCTCTGCTGTAGACATTCTGCAGGAGCACCTGTGATCCTCCGGTCAAGGTTCCCCAAGAAGAAAATATTACATCAACTGAATATCCACCATAGTCATTTGGTGATCAGTCACAGGGTGTCAGAATGATCAGGAACATGGAGTTCACCAACAGAACCTTTTTGTGACTAATCCCACTGAGTAGATTGAGATAAATTGGCCAGAAGATTCCCTGCTATTGTTTTCCATGTGTGAAGGACGAAAGCCTTCAGATAGTCTGCGGTCACGCGGACAGCCTGAGAAGGACAGTGTCACTCGGGTCCAGCCTCATGGGAACGACGTGAGAATGACGACACCTCAGTGTCCAAGCAAGGTCAAGAAGGCAGTGCCTCATCATTGAGGACCGGAGGGATTTTCTGTAAGGCTCGCCCAGAACATGAGCAAATCTGCTCAGATCCTTCGGCGGACCACCCAGTAATCTTCACGAGATGCACACATTCTCCGCATGACGCTGGCCGGCTACTGGGTCCTCCAACACCGCCTCAGGCATTCGCTGGACGACTAAGCATGGCCCATTGAATGCTGGTACAGGAACTGTCGCACCTCCTAGCATGCAAAGGTCAGGCCAGGACATGGGAAGGGAGTTGGGGGGGGGGGGAGTCAAAACGGATGTCTATAAGCCAACCTGTGAAGATGAGGGGCAGGGAAGGGGAGTTAAAAAAACAGGGAAACAGAGAAGAGCGCTGATTAGGGCAAGCAGACTGTGAAAGGACTAATTCAAATTCATTTCATCCAAATGAATAGGCCGACATCTGAATCCATTACCCGCGAATGCAAGAGCAGAGTCTTACATCTCCAATCCCATTTGAAGGCCCCCGTTGTCTGGTTCCGACAGGAGACGTATCCCGCTCAAGGACGAGGCAACGGCATCTCTCCCCCCCCCCCGCCTGGACCACTGCATGGCTCGCTGTGGTTTTTATCTAGCCACGTCCTGCCCACACGCTGCCCCCCCCAGCAGTCAGGCAATTACAGTATTAAGCACAGCCTGGCTGCGCTGTTGGCCCCCCCCAAGACGGTCATCTGCTGTGCTTCGGCGCCGGGAGAAGAGCCAGGGCTCACAGCGCCCGCCCGGTGCCGCCGCCCACTTCAGCGGTGATGCCAGGACGGCCCCTGGCGACAGGAAGCGTACAGGAAGTAGCTGCCACCCCCACCCCCCCCCACCACCACTGCCACCATCATCCCAGCTTCTCCAGCTCATCCTGATTAAGCTAGGAGCGGCTGACACTGGGAGTAATGGTCCTGCTTAGGGAAGTGTTACGATCCTCCTCCCCCCCCCCACCTTGGCCAACCCACGTTCCAGGGTTAATTGGCTTCCAGCTCAGCTGCATAGGCTGAGAAACGCCTACAGTCCTCAGAACTTGTCACGAGTCACGGAGACGGGCCGGGCCGGTGGTTGGGATCCTTGGGGAATTCCTCCGGAGCTGGCACGGAACGCAGCCGGCAGGAAAGCGCGGCACGTCCGAGGAACAAAGCCAACCACTTTGTCCCTCATGACAACCTCTCCCTTCGGTGTCCTCACCTTCCGAGAGATTACATTTCCAAGACAGGAACCCCCTCACTTGGGGGTAGGGTGAAGGCAGGGGGGGGGGGTTTCAGTGGATTACAGAAATTCAAGGCATTTTAAAAGGTCACCCTGTCAATGGCGGAGTTTGGTTCTGACATCGCGATGATCCCGGGTATTAACCATACGTCTCCGACGTTAGTGATTTCATCTGCAGGCAGGGTGGGGCCACTGCTCAGGCTTACCCAAGGACTCACTTAAGTCATCTGTCAGTCACCAGTGAGGTTTTTCTCCGAGACGTGTTTTTAATGTCAACGTGCCAGGCGATGGCAGGCCACGGACTAAGAATCGACAACAGGAGAGCCGGCCCCCAAAAATGCAGGTGGCTGGCGACCAACAGCGAAGAAACTGGGAAGGCAGCAGGCCTCCAGCGAAGACGCTGTGCTCACAAACTTCAACACGACAGGCAAGGAAAACCTAATAAGGAACCTATTTATTAAGTATTGTCTCTCGGTGCCAGCTGACGCTCCCTAATTCTCCCATAAACTCTGCTCCTGCCCGGCGGAAAGAGATAGGGTACCGGAGACAATGAAGTTTGGGAAGTACAATAAGACATCTCGGGCAAACAGACACACAGGATGTAAGAAGGACACGGAAAGTGGGGGGGGGGTTCAAAGTGATTTTGGGGCTTGAGTATTAACTGGGGGGGGTCCTCTGTTCCATGTCCGAGCTCTGTTTTAATATCGCGACTCCCAACATTACACGGGGAAAAAAAAAAGAGAGAGTCATCTGAAAGCAAAGGGGAACCGTGACAATTTTCAAAATTAAATTTCCTGCCGGTTTCCTCGGACCGTCACGAGCTGGGGAAAGTGTTTACCCTGTGGGGGGCGAGGGGGGGGGTCTTGACTCCCTTGCACTCCCGGGCCTCTATGATGTGACTCCGTCGATGGCCATGAGGTTAAATCTCCCCAGTCATACGGGCTACTAGTGCCACGCAGAGTCAATAAGCAATTACGTCTCCATGGGGGGGGGCAGCCGTGGACGTCACTCCTGCCGTGTTTCTGCATTCCTTCGTGCGCGCCCGTGTCAACGCGCCTTGAGGCTGCATAGTTGCCTTTAGCACGTACGCAGTTGCATAGTTGCCTTTAGCACGTACGCAGTCCTGGGTAAATAACACCCCCCCCCCGGACCATCAATCCTCAGCATCTCCATCGACGTGACGTGGTGGGGGGGGGGGGGAGCAGGCACATACAGGCCTCTCATGCACCGGCACCATGCCGCCGGCCTTTCATTTATAACATGGCATAGTCGCGACGCTCATGTAGGTCAGCCAAACGAATAAACTCTCATTTAAATGTAAATATAGACTCTGGCAGCTCCTCGCCAGCCCGCTATAGTTCAGGCGCTCATTACAATCGCGGCCATATTTTTTACAGATCCGCGCGACATCCGTTCTGATGTACTCCAGGGCTTCCTGTGTTTGTATCGACGTTTCCGTGAAGCGGTCGTTGTTCGTAATCTTCTGGCCCTTTTTGGCACGTTCGATGTTTATGTTTCTGAACTATATTTACATTTTTTGGCAACAGATTATAATTGTACTGGGGGTTATGTTATCGCTGAGGCCCTCTGGGACACGATTCCTAGGTGGTGCTTTCTAAGTGCACAACACACTCGCTTTCCGTTCGGTTACACATCAAACTTTATCGTTTTCCCCCACCGCGCCTGAAGGATAGAAACTTCCAGAATGCGCAGTGAGATTCTCTTTTTTTTCTCCCTTTGTCTCTCTCTCATTTTTCCTGCTCCTGTCATTTTTCCTTCTCCCTTCCCCTCTTTATCTCACCTTTTATTTATCCTTCACTCACTTCATTCCTTGTCTTTCACTCGTTCTTTCCTCCTCTCTCTCTTTCTCTCCCCTTCTTTCCCTTCGTCCTCCTCTCAGTCTATTATCTGCCCGTTCGGCTAATTGGCGCATTAGCGGCATGCCGCGGGTGACAGGGAGGTCCGGGCAGGGCGGCTGACTGCCACAGCATACGGATGAGGAGGGACGAGAGAGGATGGAGGGAAGATGACAGGGAAGGAAAGGTGGAGGCCGACAGAAGAAAGGAAGGGGAGAGACCTGAGAGAAATGGCGATAGGGAGAGAGAGCACAGCTAGGCTACGAAAGCTGAAGAAGGACAAGGTGTGTTTTTGCACATAACAGCCATACAAGTGGGTGAGAGCAGGATGGCGTGATTGTAAAAAAAGCAAGTGGTGATGAAGAGAGAAAAAGCCAGTAATTGCCCTCTTTTTAAATGGCTTTCTCTCCCTCTTCTCTGTCCCCCCCCCCCCTCGGTGTCCACATTCAGCCCAATTACCCACTCTCTCCCGCACCCCTGTCAGCATATGGAAATACAGATCACACACAGAAATGTTTCTCTTTTTTCTTTCTCTCACGCCAGTAGAAGGGGGGTGGCGCTCAAACAAAGGTGGGGTTGGGAGGAGGTGAGTCTCAGAGGGAAAAGGGCCAGAGGATGGAGATGCAGGGGCTCTACTGAAGATTTTGGGCACCATAAAAGCACATGAAATCGGGCCCCCAACTCAGATCAATCAGAATTTTTTCTAGGCCCCTGTCACGCAGAGGCCCTTGGAATCATACTACCTTTACCCCCCTACTGTGCACATGCTGCAGTAAACACGCAACGCCCCCCCCTCCACCCACAGCCACGCACCGGAAGGTTGTCGGCTTGTACCCCGTGACAGCATAGCTGCTTGGTCCTGAGACGAAGGGACATTCGTTACCCCCTGACAGCTAACAGGTACCTGCCTTGTGTGATGTTGCATAACAGGTGACATATTTACCTCACGACAGCTAACAGACGACGTCGTTACAACGCAGTAGGTAGTATGTGC